TCGGCACGGGACCGAGGCCCTCCTCCTGATGCGGTCCCGACCACGGCCCACTCACCGTGGACTTCTTAGTGAGCATCTCTTTGGCCATGACATCCATGAGCCGTTCCTTCTCCTCATGATAGCGCCGTTGCTGCTCCAGAATTGTTTCCATTTTCCCTCAGTCGCGGCGCTTCAATTCAGACGACCAACACGGCCGGAAGCAGCGGCTGCCGCCTTGCGAGCCTGCGTCTCTCAGCGCGCTGCATCCGACTGCACCAAAGTTCCGGGAGTTCCGGAAGTGCCTTGGGGGACCTCAAAAAATGAACACCACACGGAGAGCAACTCCTTGCTATCGGTACCACTGCCCCCTGCTGGCTGGAGGTGTGAAGGAGCGATGCTCAGCGACAATGCGGCAAAAATGCTGTAGGCGGAGGGGAGGTTGAGAGGCGACTGCCTGGAGCTCGCTGTGGCCAGCTGGGCCGGCAAAACACTGGTGTGGACCTGGATAGAGAAACTGAAGGATACAGAAGGGAATGAGGAACTGGAATCTCTAGTTTTAGGGTGTGACCTCTGGTGTTTTCTCCTTGTCTGGACTTTAGTATCTGTCGGTAAAGTGAGGATGGTGGCGGTTTTGTTAACAAAACTCCTATGTGGAAACAACCTTTATCAGTAGAGGGCTCTTTAAGTAAAATGTGGTATATTCAAGCAATGAAATGCTTGCTATTCAGTACAGGCTGACCTCTGATTCTCTTTATCCTTAATTCTTCTGCCTCTGCTTACCATGTGCTGGGGTTACAGGTATGAGTCACAAGACCTGGCCACTGTATGGCTTAGGAAATGAGATTTAGGCTGCCTTTCTTAAAAGGAGGAGGAAGAGGAAGAAGCAAAAAAGATTAACAGCACTCCAGAAGCAGAGGCACACAGATCTCTGTGAGTTCTAGGCCAGCCTGGTCTACATAGTGAGTTACAAAACAGCCAGGACTACATGGAGAGACTGGGACTCAGGAAACACAAACAAACAGATTAGGACTTGAGATCTGAGTCAGTATAAAGAGCTTGTCTAGAATGTACTGGGAACAGGGTTGGAGCCAAGTAGAGTGGCTCACACCTGTCATCCGGAGGCTCGGAGGGAGCAAGTTCAAGCTCAGTCTACACAATGTAGTAAGAGCATTTCCCAAAACAATAAACATCCATGTGGTGGTGGCAAAAAGCTCTTAATTCAGGCACTAGGGAGGCAGAAGCAGATGGATTTCTGAGTTGGAGACCAGCTTAGACTACAGAGCAAGTTCCAGGACAGCCAGAGCTACACAGAGAAACCCTGTCTTGGAAAACCAGAAACAAAACAAGCAGAAACAGCGTTCAGATGAAATGTTGGGATCAGCAAATTCATGGAAACAAAGGGATGAGAGAAAGGTTGCTTTGGATAAGAAGTGACTTGAAATGAGCAGAAGGAATCCTTTTGAGGGTGGCAATAGCTGTACAACTCTATCAACTTTGCTAAAATGAAATTGAGTTGTAGCACTTGAAGTGAATGGTATCTAAATTATAACCTCAATAAATCCTCTGTTTAAAAACATCTGGGGGGCTGGAGAGATTGATCAGCACTTAAGAGTACCGGTTGCAGCTGGGCAGTGGTGGCTCACTCTTTTAATCCCAGCACTTGGGAGGCAGGGGCAAGTGGATCTCTGTGAGTTCGAGACCAGCTTCATCTACAAGAGCTAGTTCCAGGACAGGCTTCAAAGCTATACAGAGAAACTCTGTATCAAACAAACAAACAAACAAACAAAGAGTACTGGTTGTTCTTCTAGGGGACCTACATTCTTTTCCCAGTACCTACCCATATGGCCGCTAATAACTGTGTGTAACTCCAGTTCTAGAGGATCCAATGCCCTCTTCTGGCTCCTATGAGCACTGCATGCATGTAGGCAAAGCACCTAGTATATAGGTGAAATAAAAACAAACAAACAAACAAACAAAAAAAAAAACCAGCCAGGGCTACATAAGAAACCCTGTCTCTAAAACTAAAAATAAATAAATAAAATAAACCAGCTGGCAGAGGCAGGTAGAACTCTGAGGTCAAGGCCAGCCTGGTCTACATAGTGAATTCCAGACCAACCACAGCTGCAAAGTGAAATCCTTAAAACAAACAAGCAGGGCGGTAGTGGTGGACACCTTTATTCCCAGCACTTGGGAGGCAGAGGCAGGTGGATCTCTGTGAGTTCGAGACCAGCCTTATGCTTTATTTAAAAAAAAAGTGCTTTGTTAAAAAAAAATCCCCCAGTTCCTTGACATATTTATTTATTCTCAAGATACAGCATCCCTTCTTTTTCTTTAATGTTTAATGTACATGTACTTTTCTTTTCTTTCTTTCTTTTTTTTTTTTTTTGAGACAGGGCCCTCAGGTAGCCCAAATTCATTATGTAGCCAAAGGTTATCCTGAACTTCTATCCACACCCAAGTGCTGGGATTATAGGCATGTGCCAAGCAGGTGTTACTAAGTTAGTTTCTTTTTTTATTTGTATTTTATGTACATTGATGTTTTGCCTGCATGTATATCTGTATGAGGGTGTCGGATCCCCGGAACAGTTGTTATAGACAGTTGTGAGCTGCCATGTGGGTGCTGGGAATTGAACTGGTGTCCTCTGGAAGAGCAGCCAGTGCTCTTAACTGCTGAGCCATCTCTCTAGTCCACTATGTTAGTTTCAAAATAAGATGTTGAATCTGGAAAGTGTTCATACTGAGATAAATGAAATCATTTACAGCTGAGTCTCTTTGTCTGAGGTGAGCAGGGGACCTCAGTCACGCTGTTCCCACTCTGCCTCCTATCTGAGGTCTCCCTTAAATGCTACTGTACACACTCACTGCACACTGTACACACTCACTGCACACTGCCTCCAAAGCTGTCACCAGGCCCCACCTTCCCCTTGCTGCTGCCACAAGTCTCATGACCATTCCTGGCCCACTCCTCCAGTGTTCTGATCAGCCTGCTCACTTTACTGCTAATCCATTATTCAGACACAGCCAGAATGATCCTTCTCACACTGACCCTCGAATGCCCCCGCTTCAACATTTCCAAGGGCTGCTCACCAGTAGGGTGAGGTCTGTTTAAGTTGGCACCTTACTTTGGACTACCCCGGCTCTGCCTGCCATTTTAGCAGCTTGGCACTCCCTCTGTAATGAATTACTTATGCTTCCTCAACCCAGCGTATGTCTTTAGGCCTCTGGGCCTTTCCCCAGCTATTCTCTATGCTTAGACTGCTCTGCCTCCACTAGTGTTTATTGAACTTGTAGCAAGGGTTGCGAGCGCAGGAAGCCGAGGAGGCAGGTGGGTAAGACTGGCAGTTCTCTGGCTGGTGCGAGAGTGAAGAGAAAAACGTAGGCCTACAACTGTTATAAGCATGTATGGTGAGCTTTCATAAAAGTTTGTTGAAAATGCTGGGCGGTGGTGGCTCACGCCTTTAATCCCAGCACTCGGGAGGCAGAGGCGGGCGGATCTCTGTGAGTTCCAGGCCGGGCTGGTCCGACAGCCTCTAAAACAATACAGAAAGACCCTGTCTTGTAAAAACAAAAAAACAAAAAACAAAAAAAAGTTTGTTGAAAATGCTGGGCAGGCAGCCAGGCTGGCATTATGGCTCTGGTGATGTTGGCACGGCTGCACCGAAAGGTGGTGGCCATCAAGCCACCGGAGTCTTAAGTCCCCCACATGGCGGAGAGAACTGACTCCCTTCAGTTATCCTCTGACCTCTACATTGTGCCACAGCAAGCAAAGTTTTAAAAATTACAAAGTATAATAAAAAGGTCAACTACAAACTGGACGATGGTGACACACTCCTTTAATCCCAGCACTCTGGGACAGAGGCAGATGAATTTCTGAGTTCAAGGCCAGCCTGGTCTACAGAGGGAGTTCCAGGACCAGAGATGCACAGAGAAACTCTTGTTTCCGGGGCAAAAACAAAAATCAAAAAAAAAAAAAAAACCAAAACAACAACAACAACAAAAAGGACAAAATACAAAAGGACCCGCCGAGCGGCATGGTTGCCTCACAACCTTCCACTCTACGTCTCTGAAGACAGACAGGAGAATCAGCCTGGGCTATGCTATCCAGTAAGAACTTGTTCCTCCTCACCCAGTAAAGTGCAACCACTGCCACTGCCAGTACAAAGAATTAATCTTGATCTTCAGGTGACTGTCTTTGCGACTTTAGGCAGACGACCCGGGAGATTGCATCTCTGAGAAACCGCAGTAAGGTCGGCTTAGGGTTAGGTTAGGGAGTATTTCTTGAGATACTACACTCTCACGGTTCCTCTATAGGCAGCCCCCGCCCCCATCCGTGTCTCCTCCTCCGGAGGCGGCTGTAGCCACCGGGGCGCGTACCTGCCGCCACAGTCCCACCGCGGAGACAGCGGCCAGGGGCCAAGCCCAGACTTAAGCGTCCAGCAGGAGAGTGCTCCACCCCATCGCCCCACTTCGGGGGACAGCCCCTCCGGCGGCTAACTCCCGCCCCCGCCAGTGAATCACGAGAGGCGGGGCCATGACCCATTCATGCTGGGAATCGGATCCAGATGTTCCCCTGCGCGTGCAGCTGCATCCTTGCCTTTTTTGGCAAAAAAAACGTGCGGCCGTGAGCGGATCCTGAGCCACCCCCACTAATTCTTGGGTAGAGGGGGAAGGAGGTTGAGGGTCTGGGCCCAACTGGGGATCTGAACTCCGTGCTTGTATGTCGGGTTGGGGCAGGGTTGTTGGGGGTGGGGGAAGATGTGTATCAGACCAAGAAACCCACTGCCGTTCGGCTCGGTTTGGCACTTCTCCCAATCCCTCCCTCCCTCCCATAGGAAAAAGCCCTCCGCCAGCAGTTTGGAGACTGGCCAAGCTAGAGAGCAACTAGTGTGGCTGCCAAAGGGGATCCTCTTCCTGGGGCGAGAATCCCCACCCCAAGGCCCGCCCACTAGGAGGCTTACAAAAGCCTGACTCATCCAAGGAACCTTCCTTCACCCTCCCAACAAATACACGAGGGCCTGTGCTCCCTCACACTGTTTTATTGCAGAATCTGGAAGTGGGGTAAGCCACCCCCCTCCTGCCTATCTCTGGGCAACATGGAGTTGAAATGAAATGGTACTCACAGATGGACAGCAACCTGTACCTTATGACCCTCCAACCAGGGAGCCCCTAATCTGCTATCCAGACAGCTGCAGCCTGGAGTCGGGTGGGATGGGGGTGAGGTCAAACTGGGGTACAATCTATCTCTTAGGATTTCTCAGGCACCCATAGTAAGTCTAGATTTAAGGAGGCCTAGGTCCCAGAGTTCAGGTTTGGGTGGGTGGGGGCCTGGGGTGTCTAGAGCCTTGATCTAGGGAAGAAGCTAGATCTGGGAACCCAAAAAAGTATAGAGGGGAAGACTCATTTCTGGAGTCCAGACTTGGAGAACTGAAGTTCATGGGTGTCCCACAAGAGCCCAGGTTTGGGGCCTCGGTCAGAGAGTGCCAGTTGGGTATGCTGGACTTAGGAGACTGAACCCTGAAGCCTCCACACTGCACAGGGGCAGGTGGAGGCCCATTCTAAGGAGGGGCTGGGTTCCAAAAGTGGTTCAGAAAAGGCGCCATAGTCTTGAACCCTTGGCTTGGGAAAGGGGAAGAGTCAGGAGCCTTGGCTCAGGGCCCTGCTTGGCTGCAGCCCTGGCACAGAACTTGGTCTCCGTCTGGTACGAAGCCTTGGCCCACCAGGGAGGTGGAGCAGCGGGCGCAGGAGAAGCAGCTGTGGTGCCAGTGTCGGTCTTCGAAGGACACATACTTGCCTCCACCGGGTCCTGGAGGAGAGGTGGAGGTTAGCTTTGCAGACTGGTGGTGGCACTGCTGCCCCTCACCCAGGAGCACAGCCACACTCTTACCTGCGGCCTCGCCACTGCTCCCACCTGTGATAGGGCGCTTGCAGCTGCTGCACTTGGGTGCAAAGAGTTCTCCAAAACAGGCCACGCAGTAGGGATCATCGTCCCGAGATGTGAACTGCTGTCCTGCCAGGGGGGTCTGGCACCCAGTGCAGACCAGGCACTCTCGATGCCAGGGTTGATCTCGATATGTCACTCCACCCTGGGTCAGCGTCTGTGGGGGCATCACCCATCAGCAGGGGAGTGAGTATTCCCACCCACAACAGGTCTTACCCTGAACTCACAGGCCCAGCCCCCACCTTGCTGCAGCGGGCACACCGGGGAGCGAACTTGTTCTCATAGCAAGGCACGCAGTAGTGAGCGCCCTTGTCAGGCACGAAGGAGCGGGAGCCTAGAGGCTGCTCACAGCCACTGCATAAGAAGCAATGTTCATGCCACGTCTGGCCTCCATACTCCAGCTTCCGGGACCCTGTGGGAAACAGGAATCCCACTTAGAGTCTTTGTCCCAAGTTCCTGAGGGTCACTGTCAATTCTACTCCCCAAGCTGTCCCCACTGCTTCTATAACGTAGTAGAGTTCTAAGACTCCCACCATATATGTTACATATGCCAACCTCTTCCCTCAAACTGGACATGAGGGTTCAGCACATGCTAAGCACATATGTTAAACCTTCCAAGCCCCTCACAGGACCTTTTTTTTTCCTTTTAATTTTTTTTTTTTGAGACAGGGTTTCTCTGTGGCTTTGGAGGCTGTCCTGGAACTCACTCTGTAGACCAGGCTGGCCTCGAACTCACAGAGATCCGCCTGCCTCTGCCTCCCGAGTGCTGGGATTAAAGGCGTGCGCCACCAACGCCCGGCCCTTTTAATTTTTTGGAGACAGGGTTTCTGTGAGGTTTTGGAGCCTGTCCTGGAACTTGCTCTGTGGACCAGGCCGCCCTGGAACTCAGACATCTGCCTACCTCTGCCTCCTGAGTGATGGGATTAAAGACATTTGCCACCAAAGCCCGGCTCATGTAGGACTATCTTAACATACATCAAGCCTCTATGTAAAAGTGTAAAACACGGGCGGGGCGTTGGTGGTGCACGCCTTTAATCCCAGCACTAGGGAGGCAGAGACAGGCGGATCTCTGAGTTCGAGGCCAGCCTGGTCTACAGAGCTAGTTCCAGGACAGCCTTCAAAACAATACAGAGAAAACCTGTCTCGAAAAACCAAAAAAAAAAAAAAAAAAAAAAAAAAGTGAAAAACACATGTTGTTCCAGTACATGCTAAATAATTCATTATATATCAGAAATACCAGGGTTTTTTGTTTTTATGTTTTTTTGAGATAGGTTTTCATCATGTAACAGCCTGCTTCAGCCTCTCATGTGCTGAGATTAAAGGTGTGTGCTACTACTACCTGTCCAGAAATACCAGTTTTAACACTCAGGCAAGTTCCCAATAACCAGGTAACTCTGCTTACACAAAGCCTAATGCCCTAGGAATGACAGGTTTAGTACATGACACCATACATTTTCAGCCTACAATTCGATCTCTGCACACAAAACTTCAATGCAGCAACCCTGAGAAGCTCAGTATATCTTTAGCTCTTACATGAACCAAGCATGCAGGTCTTCATACAAGCTAAGGCCTATGTGTGTATCAAGTATGTCAACGCTATGCACATGGTAAGTCCTTAGATGCTCACTAGGCCTACTGGTCTAATACACACTAAGCCTCCATCCAGCTTGTCAGTTTCGGTACCCACCAAACTTTTGTGTGCAGAGCTGGGTGCGCTAATCCGTGTGTGCATTAAGCTCCAAAGAGCATACATGCACAACAGATCCATACATGTTCCAGGAACATGTAAATGCCTAGGTCTCTACCCACACCAAACCTCACGCACATGAGACAGACAGACGCAAAGACCCTTCTCAGATGACAGGTCCCAAACCCAGGATGAGGCCCTGGGACATACCGGGCATGACAGTCTCCCCACAGGCTGAGCACTGTGAAGAGAAGGCTGTGCAGTAGCAGTCGTTACAGAGAAGCTCACTGTCCTGGCAGGTGAAGGGCTCATCAGCCAGGGAGCGCTGGCAGCGGCAGCACCGGAAGCAGCCCTCATGGAAGTGGCGATCCTCATAGAACAGTTCCTTTGGGAGACACAGCAGGGGCACTGGCATCTGGGCTTGGTAGATTTATCCTTGCCCCCTCCCACCAGTCTGCACTGACTCTCACTGGTCCGGTCTGATTTTTTTTTTTTTTTTTGGTTTTTTTTTCGAGACAGGGTTTCTCTGCATTGTTTTGGAGGCTGTCCTGGAACTCGCTCAGTAGACCAGGGTGGCCTTGAACTCACAGAGATCCGACTGCCTCTGTCTCCCTATTGCTGGGATTAAAGGCGTGCGCCACCAACGCCCGGCTCGGTCTGATTCTTACCCTTGAATCATGCCCGATCAGCTGCTGGCACTCTGCACAGGTGTTGGCGAAGGTGTTGTCATAGCAGGGAACGCAGTAGGGGCCACTGTCTGTCTGGATGTACTTGCGGCCGTACAAGGACTCACTGCATTTTGCACAGTCAAATGCCTCGCTCATGGTGGTGATGCTGAGTAAGCCCTGTTAGGAACACAAGATGGGGCAGAGTTCACCTAGAAGGGCTCTAGCATAGAGGACAAGAGCTCTTTGCATTCAAAAAAAAAAAAAAAAAAGGAGGCATAGAAGAGATCAAAGCAGGTGGGGACGGAGGTGGGGGGGGGACGACACTGCTCTGGGAACCCAAGAGTCTTAGGTTCAGTGCATGCTCGAATCTTGGGTGTTTATTGCTATATTTAACCGTGAGGATAGGAAGGGGTCAGGAAAAAAAATCAGGAAGCAGAAGTTGTTTTCTTATCTAGGCCCTGGCTGATCTGGGGGGAGGGGGCTTTTCCTGGGTCAGTGACTCATTTCCTGCTGCAGCCTGAGGTTTGCTTCCACTGTCTGTACTGTCCCTAGGGTGCTAAAGGCCAGGACAGGGGGCCACCAACCCTACTGTATATAGACAGAACTCTCACCTCCTGACTCCCGCGATGGGACCACAGGCGTTTAGACATGGGGGACATTCATCCAGAGTTCTGATCTGGGGAGCTTTGGGTGGAGTGGGCTCTTGTGTTCCCCCCACCCCCACAACTCCCCACCGAAGCAGGAAATAGTGGAATGCTAGAGAGATGCTTGACTGATGAATGGTGGAGGGCCGTGTGAGAAGTTGGGCCTCCCCTCCCTGGAGAATCAGCCAAGCAAGCACGGAGGCTCAACCTAGGTTCAGGCAGGAAGGAAACCCTGCAAGCTGGACACAGCCAAACTTCCCCAGCTAGACCCTCGGCCTCATCCCCTGCCACTTCTGCTGTGTCTCTGGTCACACCAGCCTGGGCAGTCTCGGCTGCAACATCTGCTGCAGCTGTGGCAGTGCAGAGGGCCAGATGTCAGCTTTTTGCCAGTCAGAGGGAGAAAAAAGGGGAAAACTGACACGCCTGGGGATGCAGAAGGGAAGTAGAGACACAGGAAGAGGGCAGCTCGCCATGCCCCCCCCCCCGCCCGCCCCAGGTGTCTCTGCGGGTAGCTCTGCAAAGACCCAGGTCATGATAGGTCCTTCTCTTGCATCTGGACAGACAGCCTCTGCCTACGTTTCCTGATTCCCCAGGGGTTAAGGCCAGAGAAGGGAAAAGTGAGCAAACAGGAGACCCTGGAGTCCCAGTCAGGCTCCTTCCTGATGGGGAGTAAGAGAAGGGGAGCCCAGAGAGCTGTTGCTGCAGACACCCAGCCCCCCACCAAACCTCAGACACTTTCCATTTTCTCAGGAACAAAGCATGTTTGCGGGATGAGGTCACCCACACAGCTGCCTCTGGAACAGGAGCAAGAAGAATGGGGGGCAGGGAAGTGGGGTTCCCAGTCTCTTCTGCTGGCCAATGCCAGTCTCCGGGCCCCAAAGTCACAGCTCCCCAGCTCCGCCCCCCTGCACTATGAAGTACACTCTCAAAGGACTGGGAAGTGAGGAAGACTCCCGTAGGATCCACAGGAAGGCGGTGGTGGTGTCACTGTTGCAAAGGAGACTGGGGGAAGTTAAAGGGGTGCAAAAGGAACCTACCAACCCCCTTCTCCAGGGCTGTACTGGCTTAAGATGAAGGAAAAGCCTTTCTCAGCAAACACAGCGGGAAATTCTCACAGAACACCTTGGTCTGCCTTAGAGTTCAGACTTGAGGCAGCGGCAGATGTCTCAGACCTGGAGGGCCTGCCTCTTTGCGGCTTATGAGTTTGAACTTTCCCTCCCACAAAGTGGGAGACACTGAATTCACACCCAAAGCAGGACACAGGCCACCAAAGCTGAAGTCTTCAGAGTGGAGAGTCCTCAGGGTATGGGTTATGCTGAAGGATGAAGAGAGCCCCCTCCTCCTCATGCCCCTCCCTGGCATTCAGATCCTGGTTTCCTCTGGCCCAGCATCTGAGGGTTGCTTGGGCTGCTAGCCACTGGACAAGAGACAGCCATACAGGTGGCCTGTGACCATGTGTTCACTGGGGAGTGCCCTAGGTCTTTTCCTTCCTTCCGGGCTTGGCCAGCCACAGCAAAAGCAGCTACCTTCCCAGGCCCAAGCTAGCCCTGGATCCACCCCCTCAGAGTCAGTCATCAGGCTGAGATGAGGCACCCCAAATAGGGCATGGGCGTGCCTTCTGCTTCCTTCCCAAAATCCCCCAATCCCTTAATCTACGTTTCTAATAAGGACAGAGTGAAGGACACAACCAAGGCCCACCTTTCTCTCCCAATCCCTGTTCCTCTTCCTCCTCAACCTCTCCCCATTCCCTCACAAGGCTGGAGGACTGAAAGGATGAGCAGGGGAGCCAGTCTTGTATTCCTTCCTGGCTGGTAGCAGGCAGGGTTCAGAGGAGACACTGGATCTTCCAGATGTCCCTCATCTGCTATTCCCACTAATGCACATATTTCTACGCCAGACTTACACACACTCGTGTGCGCGCGCACACACGCCTAAACACACACGGTGTACATACACACCAGTGAGCTTCCTGGAGCTGAATGACAAGACTCCTTTCTGTATGATGTTCAGTGTGTAGCAGCTTGCTTCAGTCATGAAATATAAACCCGACTTGGGATCCTGTGACCTTGGGTATATACTTTTCATGCCCCAAGACGGCTAGTCCATCTAGTTAAATGAGATAACATTACCTCCCTCTCCCAGGACTGCTGGCAGGCTAGGAGAGGGAGGTAACGATAATCCCTCTAAAGCATCTAGCTGATAGTAAGTCCCAGGTAAATGGTAGTCACTATACTTTTCACTACAAGCCCCTCACTCCTATTGGACCCAGACAGTGGGTCTCAGGAAGACCTGAGGCAGGAGCTGGCCCAGGGTGTGACTTAGAGAGGCTCAGTGAAGTCTAAGTCTAGGATCTAGCTGAGGGGACCACTAGGGTCAACAGTAGATATAACCCAGTCAGCTGGACACCAGGGAGAGAAACCGTAGATCTTACAGATGGGTAGTTCACAGGTGTTCACACTGTATGACGTCTTGTCATTCATAAGACGTATATAGCTCACCACCACTGCATCATGTCTCACGAAGACAGGCAGGACAGAATATATCATTTCTTTTCTTTTCTTTTCTTTTTTTTTTTTTTTGGTTTTTCGAGACAGGGTTTCTCTGTGGCTTTGGAGGCTGTCCTGGAACTTGCTTGGTAGTCCAGGCTGGTCTCGAACTCACAGAGATCCGCCTGCCTCTGCCTCCCGAGTGCTGGGATTAAAGGCGTGCGCCACCAACGCCCGGCTCATATCATTTCTTCATTAGAATTTAGCACAAGACACCAAGGGCAGGCAGGCTAGAGGCATGGATGGCCAAGGCTGCTCAGGAATTGGAGAAGTGTCCTAGCCTGGCTCAGCAACTAACTCTGCCTAGAAATGCTTTGGCAGTGGTGGAAGGGGCAGTCAGCCTTTTAGGGTGATGGGGGGGGGGAACGGATGGACACGACAGACTGACAGACACGACATAGAGAGGAGATACACTAGAGCTGGCTCTTCTCCCCAGCTGCCAACCCTGCCATTGGAAGACACCCAGAAGTCTTTCCAATTACCCATGCCAACTGCTCAACCCTTTTGCACACCCCCAAAATCTAGGAGGACCCTGGCCAGGCCCTACAGCCGTGAGTCAGAATGAGAGCAGACCCCTCCCCCTTGACAGGAGACTTAAGGGGAGAAACTAACACCACCCCCACTCCCCCCACCCTGCAACCAGGCACCAACCCCAAACTCTCTCCCGCCCCTCTTCCCCACAGGGCCTGGAAGTCAAAGCAGTTTAGGGAAAAGGGGGGGGGGTGTAGGGAGCAGATCCAGCAGCTGCTGAGGACAGGAGAGGAACATTTCATTCACCCCCCAAGTCCCCCAGGGCTGAAGCAGAGCGTCCAAGATTTGAGTTTAAAAATAAATTGGCGCTGTCTTAGTGGCTGTGTGTACATGGGGCTCTTTCTTGAGCTCAGTTTTACAGCCTCAGGTCCTCTGTCTCCTGGGGGATGGGCTGGCTGGGAGTCAATTTCCCCCCAAGCTTTGCCTCTACCTTTTCAGGCCTGGGGCAGCTGTCAGTGAGTGCACCTAGGAGTCTCTCTTCCGCGAACTCTAGTCTTCACTTCTCAGCACCCTTGGGCAGCGGTCATTGTGTTTGGGTTGGGGTGTCCCTGTATCTCTGGGGCTGTGTCCCAGTGGGCCCACTCTGGGGACTCTCTATCCCTCAGCAGCCAAGTCTTGGTCTCTCAGCGTTTCAGACTCTGAAAAGTCACTTTAGACCTTAGGGAGGCAGATTTAGCACTACTCTAACAAGCTTCAGCCTCCGGGCCCTCCAAGGCCCTGGGAAGGGCGCTAGCAATGAGTTCCCTGGGGTCATACATTTGCTTCTTAAAATGCTTCATAGAACCCGGATCCCCGTAGCGCCTCGAGAACTTTGTCGGTCCATTCTCTGCACTAGTTTGAATGGTTCCTGTAGCCTTCTGGGGCGTGCGTCCTTGTCTGTTCTACCAGGCTTCCTAAGAGCCTCAGTTTCTCCAATCCTCCTGATCTCCCTAGCTTTTCTAGTTCAAATTTGGTCCCCCTCCCCCTGCAACTCTGGCGGTCCCCTCCCGGCCCGGAGGCGCGGAGCGGCGAGGTTCGTGCTGGTGCGCGTGGTCCCAAGCTCGGGGTGCTTGGAGGTGTCCCAGGAGGAGACAGTGGCGAGGGGCCCCCGGTAGCACCCGGGCACGAGCGCAGCGCGGGTACTAGAGCTGGAAAACGGGGCAGGGGACGCTCACCTCGAAGCGGGGGCAGGAGCCAGGCGCGCGCGGGCGTAGGTGGGGCCCGGAGCCGATCGCCCCGCGGCTCCTACCTGCGGGCCGGGCCGAGCGGGCCGAGAGAGCCGCCGAGAGGTAGCCTGCTGCGACAGACTGTGTGGGCGAGTGGGCGCGCGGCCCTAAGCCTCCGAGGAAGTGCTGGCCCGCCCCGCCCGGACCCCGCCCCCGCCCCCAACCCGCCGGCGGGGGCCAGACCCCGCCCCTCTCCTGCCTGCCTCGAGCCCAGCCCAACCGAACCTGGCGCTCCGACCTTCTCGGCCCCGCCTTGCCCGCTCCCTGCAGCCTGCTCCCCCCAACCCATGCCCCTCGGACCCACGGGAACTGCTAGAAGCGATCCCAACTCAGGGGTGCAGGACTCCTAGGACCAGGGTCCGTCTGGGGACCGAACCCCCTCATCATCTCCCAGCTCATTCCCCAGATGTTACACTAAACCTTAGCTTGTGAAGGCCTTAATCCAGCCTGCGGGAGGGGGTGGTTTTGATTCTGCCAGCATAGCCTTAGCAGTGGAGATCAAGGTATTTTCTAGAAACTTGGGTTAAAGAGAGAGAGCTTTTTATCCTCCTCACTTTCAGAGGGCTTTATTCTATAACTGAGTGACAAAAGCCCGGGCAACAACCTCCCCAACCTCAGATGTGTCTTGGCACTGAACTTTCTACAGTGCCCCAGGAATAGTTTTGACCTTTCGGGCTCCGGGAGACCCTAATCCTTGGCTTTGGGTTTCTTGGGAGGGGTATGAAGAGTGTGAGCGGTTATGTTGCTGCAGGCAGGGGTGGTGAAGGAGAAGGGAGGGTACTTCTACAGTTTCTGATCCTCCAGCTTCTGTCCTGAGCCGGGAAGGGAGGACAAATGCCTGCCAGGGACACAAGGCCCATCTAGGTCCTTGCGGCCACCCCCCCTGGGATCCTCAGGCTTGTCACTAGGAATAAATAGCCTCGATTTGGAGGGAGGTGGTGGTGGAGGGGAGGAGGCTCTGTTGTGCTATTTGCAAAACAAGAGACAACAAACTAACGCTGGAAATAACCTTTGGCTCCATGGTGATTCAGATGCCCAGATCCAAGCCTTCATCACCTCCAAGTTTGCACCCCCCCAAGGCTGGTGAGGCCCCTCCTCTTCTGTAGTATGTGTCTGGTTTCTAGGTTCTAAGACAGCCTCCAGACCAGGTTTCCTTTCAAAATTAAACGATTGCTTATTACGTTGCTGATTCTTAAATTGCAATCACACTGAGGGCAGAGGTTGGATCATTTTTTTTGTTGACTACTACATTCCCAGTATCCAGCGCTTGGCATACAGTAAATAGCTGATGAGTGAATGACATACACTGCTTCAGTTTGGATCCCCCGCCACTCCCTGACAGGCACATGCTATCAGGAATTGAATAGACAGTCTGAGGGTGGGCCCTTCCTCCGGAGGGATGCAGCAAACGCTATCCCTGGTTGGGGTAAATCCAAGAGGGGGTCTGTTCTGGGATGAGGTGATGGCAGTGATGAGAGCTGTGCTGGCTAGTCTTATGTCCACTTGACACAAGCTAGAGTTATCAGAAAGGACGGAACTCTCAGTGGAGACAGTGACTCCATAAGATTAGGCTGCAGGAAAGCCTAAAGGGTATTTTCCTTTCCTTCCTTCCTTCCTTCCTTCCTTCCTTCCTTCCTTCCTTCCTTCCTCTTTTTTTTCTCCCAGAGACAGCAGAGTTTCTCTGTCTCTGACTGTCCTGGAACTTGCTTTGTAGACCAGGCTGGCCTCAAGCTCACAGAGATCCACTTGCCTCTGACTTTAGGATTAAAGGCCTACACCACCATGTTGTCTTGGGCATTTTCTTAATTAGTGATTAATGGGGGAAGGACCCAGCCCATTGTGGGTGGTTCAATCCCTGGGTTGGTGGTCCTGTGTTCTATAAGAAAGCAGGCTGAGGCTGGGCGTTGGTGGCGCACGCCTTTAATCCCAGCACTCGGGAGGCAGAGGCAGGCGGATCTCTGTGAGTTCAAGGCCAGCCTGGTCTACAGAGCTAGTTCCAGGACAGCCTCCAAAGCAATACAGAGAAACCCTGTCTCAAAAAAAAAAAAAAAAGCAAAACAACAACAACAACAAAAAAGAGAGACAGAAAGAAAGCAGGAAAGAAAGACAAAGAAAGCAGGAAAGAAAGACAGAAAGAAAGCAGGCGGAGGAAGGTAGTAAGCAGGACCCCTCTATGGCCTCTGGCTGCATCAGCTCCTGCTTCCTGGTTCCTGCCTTGTTTGACCTTGTTTGAATTCCTATCCTGACTTCCTTCAGTGATGGACTATGATGGAAGTGCAAGTCAAATAAACTGCCCCAACCTGCTTTTGGTCATGGTGTTTCGTCATATCAACAGAAACCCTAACTAAGTCGGGCGTTGGTGGCACACACCTTTAATCCCAGCACTCGGGAGGCAGAGGCAGGCGGATCTCTGTGAGTTCGAGGCCAGCCTGGTCTACAGAGCAAGTTCCAGGACAGAGTCCAAAACAATACAGAGAAACCCTGTCTCGAAAAACCAAAAAAAAAAAAAAAAAAAAAAAAAAAGATACCCTAACTAAGACAGGAGCCTTCAGAAAGGGGAGAGTTACCAGTGATCAGTAAATGTGCTTCATCTTAGAATCCTTGTTCTTTCCTTGTGGCTTAAAGTGCTACTGAAGGACTTTACCAAGAGCCAGGACTCTGTGAGCTCCCACTTTGCACTGTTCCCTAAACACTTTATATACATGAACACACAAAATTATCCGATAAACATATAGATATATATACACATATCTATATACACGCATATAGTATTTTTATGTGTGTGATGTGTAGATGTGTTCACTTGGGTGGGCTCACGTGTATGCTTGTGTGGAGGTCAGAGGTCAACCTTCTGGAGTCAGTTCTCTATAAAATGCTTTAGTGGCTAAGATTGCTTGCTGTTAGCTTTCTAACACCCTGACCAAAAAGCGAGTTGGAGAGGAAAGGGTTTTTTTTCAGCTTGCAAATCCATATTACAGCTTTGCTCAGGGAGGCTAGGGCAGGAACTCAAGCAGGGCAGGAAACTGGAGGGAGGAACTAACTAGAAACCATGGAGGACATGTTGCGTATTGACCTGTTTCTTGACTTGAACTGAACTAGAAACCACGGAGGACATGCTGCGAATTGGCCTGTTTCTTGACTTGCTCAGCCTGATTTTTTAGAACCCCCAAGACCACCAACCCAGGGGTGTCACTGCCCACAGTGAGCAGAGCCCTTCCATGTCAATCAGCCAATACATTGCTCTTCCAAAGGACCCGAACTGAGTTCCCAGAACCTATGTGTTGTACCTTATAGCAGCCTGTAAATCCAGGGAATCTGATGCCATTTTCTGGCCTCCTCAGACACCAGCACAGATGACATTCATTCATGCAAACACAAACATGTACATATAAATAAAAATAAATAGCTGGGCAGTGGTAGTGCAGGCTTTTAACCCCAGCACGCTGAGGCAGTTGGATCTCTGTGATTTTGAGTCCAGCCTGGTCTACAGAGCAGATTCCAAGACAGCCAGGGCTGTTACACAGAGAACTCTGCCAAAAAAAAAAAAAAAAAAAAAAAAAGAGAGAAAGAAAAAGAAAGAGAGAGAGAGAGAGAAAGAAAGAAAGAAAAGAAGTAAAATAAATTATAAATTACTCTGTGTGTGTGTGTGTGTGTGTGTGTGTGTGTGTGTGTGTGTGTACATGAATTTGCATGTAGGAAGTAAGGGACAACTTGTGGGAAGGAGTTCTTTCTTCTTACCTTGTGGTTCCTGGGAATAATCAGGCTTGGTGGCAAGTGCTTTTACCTACTAAGCCATCTTGCTGGCCCTGAAGTCAGTCAGATTCTGCCAGCATAGGTTTAGGGGATTGAACTCAGGTAATCAGGCTCACAGCAAATGCTTTTTACCCACTGAGCTGCCCCACCAACCCTAAATATACATCTTTAATCCTCTTCTCAAAATGGTGCTCACTTTGGCAGCACAGATACTAAGATTGGAATGATGCAGAGATTAGCATGGTCCCTAGCAGGGATGACAAGCAAATTCATAAAGAATTCCATATTTTTTATTTTTATTTATTTTATTTTTGTTTTTCGAGACAGCTTTCTTTGTGTGGCTTTGGAAGCTGTCAGTAGACCAGGCTGGCCTCAAACTCACAGAGATCTGCCTGTCTCTGCCTCCCAAGTTCTGGGATTAAAGGCGTGCGCCACCACTGCCCAGTTTAGAATTCCTTTTTTTAAATACGATTTTATTATATAGTTATTTGTTCCACTAAAATCCGTTAACCTGCAGCAACAGCAACAACAAAACAAAGATGGGAAAACAGAGGCTGGGCCTGTGGTGGTACACACCTTTAGTCCTAGCACTCAAGAAGCATAGGCAGGTGGATCTCTGTGAGTTCGAGGCCACTCAGGTCTAGACAGCCAGCCAGGGCTGCTTAGTGAGACCCTGGGGAGAAAGAAGGGTGGGGGAGAGGGAGAGGGATAGAGAAGGGAAGCACAGATGTCCTAACTGCCAAGGATGGCAAAGTCAAGGTTGAAACCCAGACTGTCAAGTGTCAAAGCTCCTCATGCCCAAGGTGGTCCTAACCATTACCTGAGTGTCAGTGAACCTCTGAAAGGCAGTCTCTTCCTCCAGGACACCATTACTGAGGACTGATGAGACTATGCAATAAGTCTTCAGTAGGCGGGAAGCCTCCTTCCCTTTCATGGTTAAGTGTTAAGGTTCTGCTGTTAGGACTTGGAGTCTAAAGGTCAGAGAAAGCTAGGAGATTTTTGGCTCTGGTCAGGCTGGGGGAGGGAGCCTACCCATGACAGGGGGCTGTGTCCTTTCTCCTCTCCATTTCTAGTGGGCTCACATTTCCCTGCTCACTTTCTTGCCATTGGCCCAGGAAGACGTGCCCCAGGGAGTTCAGGGATCAGCCTCACGGACTCTCTGTCCCTGTTACCCATCTGTCCTCTCCCCCTTTTTTGGAAACAGGTGCTTCTGAGCCAGAGCTGGAAGTAGAGCGCTTGGCCCCAGGCATAGGTTAAGTGGGTATTTGTTCCTTCCCCACCCAGGGGATTCCTACACACATCTCCCTATCTCAATCTCACAGAGCTCCTTCTTGTCTTCTTGCCTTGCAAGAGCTTTTAAAAGAAGGCTCTGGGTCACTTCTGCCAAGCTTCTCATGGGTTCCTCTGGGTGCTGAATCATTCTGGTGCCTGCAACCACAAGACCTCCTTCTTCCTAGTGAGAAAATACCCTTTCTTCCCTGGGTGTATTGCTCACTGTTAACACTCCAATGCCCAGAGCAGGCCTCAGGCTTAGCAAACACTTTCTTTCAAATCACTTAGAAACTTACTTTGTGCTCCCAAGCCCATTGGAGTGTAATAGAGGGTAAAATGAAGAATCTTTGACAGAACACAGGCAGGTTAAATGCAGAGAAAATGGTTAAATGCTGTGTGGGTACTATGTGGGGGTACTCATTACTTTTTTCTAGTCTTTAAAAACCCCATGTGAACTGGTCATTGCTATCACCTTACAAAGATTTTGATGATGTGTTTCTAAATGCTAAACTAAAAGGGGATAGTTGTGCAATGCCAATCTAGGGCTAACTCTAGAGTCTCCTACCTCTGGGGCACAGCGATGGCTTTGCCAGATGCTGCTGGACAAGACAGGAGTGGAGACAGCAGTTATCTGGCCCTTCTATCAGATAGCTAAACTTCTTGAGATGAGGCTGGAGAGGTGGTCCCCAACTAGATCATGAAGTAGCTTGGTTTTCAATTAGGAATTTTCCTAATGCATGTGGACCTAATTGGGCAAAGATCAAGTAGACACAGGGAAAACTTTTCATACTGTGATCTTTTTCATACCCACTTGTCCCCTGGACTCTCTGAAGAGGGTTTTCATGACATTCTTCGTTTTTTTTGTTTGTTTGTTTGTTTTTCGAGACAGGGTTTCTTTGTATTATTTTGGAGGCTGTCCTGGAACTCGATCTGTAGACATGGCTGGCCTCGAACTCACAGAGATCCGCCTGCTTCTGCCTCCCGAGTGCTGGGATTAAAGGTGTGTGCCACCAACGCCCGACTTCATGACATTCTTTAGCTGGAAAGGTGATCAGTGACATATAAAATGGATGCAATTAAAGAGCCTGTCTAAGTCTAGTGGTGCATACTGTTAATTCCAGCACTTGGCAGGTGGATCTCTGTGATTTTGAGGCCAGCCTGGTATACATAGTGCATTCTGGGACACTCACAGTTATATAGTGAGATCTTGTCTCAAAAAAGAAAACAAAACAAAAAAGAGCCTGGCGAAGATGTAGTGGAAAAGAATTCAAATGCCAACAGATTAAAAAAAAAAAAAAGAACGAGAGAAAGAGAGGGAGAGAAGGAGACAGAGCAAACAACCCCAAATGCTACTTTTTGCTTTGCTGGGTCCAGCTCTCTCTTGTACTACTTGGGGATAGCTTTAGTGATGACAAAAATAACACCCGTAGCTGGGCATGCTAGTACACACTTGTAATCCAAGCACTCTGCAGATGCAAGAGAATCCTGTGAGTCTGATACCAGCTTGGGCCCGTGAGTTTCAGGGCAACCAGACCTGCATCACTGGACCCTGCCTCAAGACACCAAACAAAATTAGACTAAGCCAAACCCAATAAAACCAGAAAGCAGAGACAAAACAATATTATTGTGAACCTGCTAACAAGTAAACAGAGCACTAAGCATTTTAAACATGTTGTGTCATTTAAGCCTCATGATCCTGTGGGTATAGTATTATTGCATTATTTTATAACTAGATGTGGATACCAAACCTCAGCACAACTAACTTTCCTTGTTTAAGGATAGGGGTGGGTCAGGTGGTGGTGTACTCCTTCAATCCCAGCACTCAGGAGGCAGAGGGAGGTGGATCTCAGTGAGTTCGAGGCTAGCCTGGACTACGGAGTGAGTTTCAGGACAGCCAGGACTGTTACACAGAGACACCCTGTCTCGAAAAACAAACAAGAATGAGGAGAGGCGGGCGTGGGACTGGAACACTCCCCCCACAGTCCAGGGCTCTGTCCATCCCACTATACTACCTTGCACCGACTCTGCCAGCCCATCCCACTATACTACCTTGCACCGACTCTGCCAGCTACTCAGCCATTTCTTTGATGGTTGTGAAGGACTCAGAACTTTACTGCTATTGGATGATTCTCTCCTGCGGTGCTTATAGATACAATTCTGCAACTCAGGGCCCTTGACACTCCTATGAGCAAGACCAGCGTGCTATTATTATCTTCGCTTTATGGATGAGAAAAATGATGCTCGTTAAAGTCAAGAAACCTGCCAAAGTTCTACAGCCAGCAGTCAGTGGCAGAGCCAAAGGTGTTTTTGTTTTTTTTTTTTTGGTTTTTCGAGACAGGGTTTCTCTGTAGCTTTGGAGGCTGTCCTGGAACTCACTTTGTAGACCAGGCTGGCCTCGAACTCACAGAAATCCGCCTGCCTCTGCCTCCCGAGTGCTGGGATTAAAGGCGTGCGCCACCAACGCCCGGCGCCAAAGGTGGTTTTAAAGTGTTCTTTCTAGTGTATTGTAAAACTCACATTATTTCCTGTTTTTGTTTGTTTCTTTTCTTTTTATTTCTTTTTGGTTTTTAGAGACAGGGTTTCTCTGTGTAGCATGGCTGTGCTGGAAGTAGCTCTGTAGACCAGGCTGGCCTTGAACTCACAGAGATCTGCCTGCCTCTGTCTCCTGAGTGCTGGTATTAAAGACATGTGCCACCATCATTTGTTTTGTTTCTATTTCCTTCCCTTTCTTCTTTTCTTCCTTTCTCCCTCCCTCCCTCCCTCCCTCCCTCCCTCCCTCCCTCCCTCCCTCCCTCCCTCCCTCCCTCCCTCCCTCCCTCCCTCCCTCCCTCCCTCCCTCCCTCCCTCCCTTTCTTTTTGAGACAGGAATTTCATTTCACTAGGTTGCCCTGGCTGGCCTGGCAATTACTATGTAAGAGACGGCTAGCCTTGAACTCACACAATCCCAGTTTCTGCCTCCAGAGTCCTTGGATTGAAGGTTGTTGGGATTAAATGTGTGAGCCACCACGGCCCGCTCTGTTTAGGATTTTAACCCAGGCCAAGTCGCAGTGACTGCACATGTGCACACGTAAGCCGAGCTCAGCCAGAGGGCAGTGTCAGCCACGTGTTCCCAGATGCCAACTTGTGGCGAGAACGAAGCCTTGGTCCTTGTGTATGAATACTCTCAAGCGAGTGAGAACTCTGGAGGAATCACGTGACTCGATCTAAGAAACTACATCTCCCAGAAGCCTCCTGTCCGGGCTGCTTGAGTGGGGATGTATTTCTGGCGAAGTAGGCTTCTGATAGGCTTGTGCAAGCCTCCAGCGGCTAGGCCTGCTTCCGGTAGTCTTTGCGGACGCTGCTGCTCTGGTATCGCTGGTGGAGTTTGCTGAACCATTTCTGGACCCCAGTAGGCATGTCGGCGGCTTTTCGCAAAGCAGCCAAGTCCCGGCAGCGGGAACATCGAGAACGAAGCCAGGTAGGCCCTCGCAGGCCCCTTGGGCGACGGCCTGTGGCCCCTGCCCCTTCGCTATCCTAGCGTCGGGATACCGGCTAGCGCATCTGCCTTCTGTAAACCCCCGACACATGGGGCCTGACCCCAGCGTGCCTTGTCGGGGAGACCTGGGGACCTGGTTAAGGGGATTGTCTACGGTAGGAGGTCCAGTGGGTGACCGAGTGGGGCGAGGTGTGTCACATGCGTTCCCCTGGTGACCAGCAGCAGTGGGCGCCCCACATCCGACGCATGCAGGAGTTGTGATCGAGGACAGCTGTCCCTAAAGTGGGCCCAACTTTTGGCGGGGGCTTGTGGTTCATGTAGATCTCACACTTCTCCCGTGAGGAGAGTGACTTGATCATTTACAAACTCTTGGGGGACCTGATAGCCCAGGTCTGTAATTGCAGCTACTCCTGAGGCCAAGGCAGATCACAAATTCAGGACTTACCTGGGCAACTTAGACCTGTCTCAAAATAAAAGCCTAAAAAAATTCTAGACGTCCAGCTCAGTGGTGAACTGTTGAACTGTTTGCCTAGCAAGGTTTGGGCCTTGGTAGGATGAAAGAAAGGAGGAAGATAGACCGCCACTAAATTTTAGTTAGAATAAATAATTTCGGGGTTTCTAAGGAGAATGTGTCGGTGTGGGAATATTCGATAGAAATAAAGATATACCCAGAGTCACATTATCCACTTTATTATTCTCAGAAATCACATGATGTTCAAACAAGCTTTAATGACTGGAAAGAGGGCTCAGCCATTAAGAGCACTTGGCTGCTGTATCAGAGTTCAAATCCTAGCACCCACACTCACAGATACCTGTAACTCCAACTCCAGGAAATCCCACACTCCCTTCTGGCTTCCACATGCTCATACTCACAGAAATACACAATTATACATCTTTTAAAAGTATTTACTTATTTTGGTTTTTTGAGACGGGGTTTCTCTGTAACAGCTCTGGCTACGCTAGAACTCACTCTGTAGACCAGGCTGGCCTTGAACTCACAGAGAATCCACCTGCCTCTGAGCACTGGGATTAGAGGTGTGTACCACCACTACCCAGCTTTTATTTTAATATTTTGTTCTCATTCCCTTGGGGGGATTGGTTGACAATGTCTTGTCATCACTAGGCCAGCTTTTATTTTCTATATTTATTTATGTATGTATTTGCTTGTTTTGAGACAGGGTTTCTTTGTGTAACAGCCCTAGCTGTCCTGGAACTAGCTATGTAGACCAGACTGGCCTCCCAAGTGCTGGGATTAAAGGCGTGTACCACCACCGTCCAGCTTCCAGCTTATTTTTTTTTAAATCAAAACATTAACTTATATGTGTGTCTGTGAACGGGTGTGTGCACATGAATACATATGCCTGTGGGAGCTCATCCTGGAGTTGGGGTTTACAGTAATTGTGGCGTCCCTGATATAGCTTCTGGGAAATGAACTTAGATCTTCTGGAAGGGAAAAATATGTTTTCAACTGTTAAGTCATCTCTTTAGCCCCTCAAATATTTTTATTTATTTACTTTTTTGCCAAGAGGATCAAGAATTTTGGATAATCCATCACAGTTTTAGGACACTCTGGACTACACGAGACAGTATCTCAACAAAACAAAATGGGCTGGGAAAATGGCTCAGCTGGTAAATATCCTTGCTGCAGAAGCCTGGAGACCTGAGTAAGAGCCTCAGTAAGACCTTCTGACTCACAAAGGTAGAAGGAAAGAATGGACTCTTTTTTCTTTTTTAACTTTTTATTTTTGAGAACATAACTTAATTACAACATTTCTTCCTTCCCTTTCTGTCTTCCAAACCCTCCCATGTACCAATGCTTGCTCTTTCAACTTCTTGGCCTCTTTTTTGAGAATGGACTCCTAAGAAGTTGTCTTCTGACATCCATATATGCAGTAGCCTGTATACCCACATACAGTTATATCATGTGCACACACAAAATTAAATCACAGTAACAACAAGCAGAACCCCCATGTAAACATCCAACAAGCAGAACCCCCATATATAAACATCCAACAAGCAGAACCCCCATATAAACAACCAACAAGCAGAACCCCCATATAAACATCCAACAAGGCTTTTAGAGATACCTGTTGTACAGCGGCTGAAGAAAGGGGTAGGACATTATCTCTGGAACTGCAACTGACTGACGCTGTAGAACTGAGGCCTCTGTCTGTCTCTGTTTTAAAAATCCTTCTGTAGTTGATGTTAGCCAAAAGGGTGAGGAGTGATAGTACCGAGTCTTCTTGAGCACAGTCCACCCTTTCTGCTTAATAGCATTTAGTAGGGTGAATGCCTAGTCGAAGCAGTATCATACATGGATGTGGAGGTCTAAGAACAACTTGCAGGAGTCGTCTCCATGTTCAAACTCAAGTCATTAGACTTGGCAGCCAATGCCTTTACCCACTGAGTCACGTCACAGTAGTGTATTTTAACATCTTAATTGTGAAACTGTATACAGACCTATCGAAAACTAATAGTAGCTAGCTAGAACTTGGTGAAGGGTGCATGCATGACTCTCACTTCCATGTAACTCAAGGCAGCTGTTTGGAAGCACTTTATTATGTCCTCACATTTCCTTGAGGAAGTGAAGGCTCAGATGGGTCAAGTACTTTGTCCAAAGAGCTACAGCTACAACTGTCATATGGCAAGGCTTGAAATCACATCAGCTGTTTCAAGAATATAGAGGTGGGACTGTGGAGATGGCTTAGCAATTAAGATCACTTGTGGCTCTTCTAGAGGACCTGGGTTCAATCCCCAGCATCCACATGGCAGTTTACAACTGTCTGTAACTCCATTTGTAGGGAATCTGGCACCCTTACAGAGACATAAGTGCAGGCCAAACAACAATGAATGTAAAAGTAAATCTTGAGGGCTGGAGAAATGGCTCAGTGGTTAAGAGCACTGTCTGCCCTTCCAGAGGTCCTGAGTTCAATTCCCAGCAGCCCACATGGTGGCTTACAACCATCTGTAATGGGATCTGATTCTCTCTTCTGGTGTGCATGAAGACAGGTCACTCATAAACTAAATAAATAAATAAATAGATTTTTAAAAAATCATGAAAAAAATTTAAAAAGGAGTAAAATAATATAGAGACAACTTTTTAAAGATGTGGTACATTAAAAATATCAGATGTGGGGGTTGGAAAGATGGCTCAGTGGTTAACTGCACTTGTTGCTCTTTGAGAAGATCCAGGTTCAGTCCCTAGCACTGACATGTCAGCTCACAACCTTCGGTGACTTCAGTTCAAGGGCATTTGAGGCTCTCTTTTGGCCTCCTTGGGCACCAGGCACACTAGTCGTGCACAGACATACATGAAAGTAAAGCAATCATAAACATACAATAAAAAATAATAATCAAAGAAATTTAAAATGCCAAGTGTGCAACATGTGTGGAAACGGTAAAATTGTGTTAAGATGTTTTGGAGTTGGAGATTAGTTTGCTTTTGAAGGCAAAGCTATCAGATGTGGTTTTTTTGTTGTTTTGTTTTGTTTTTGAGATAAGATCTCCCTCTTTAGCCTAGACTTACCTCAAATTCACTTTGTGATCCTTCTGCCTCAGTTGATACTGGGATTACAGTACATTCTGCTTAAAATGGCCACTTTTTGAGCATCCTAGGAATAGCTCTGCATGCTGTAAAAGGAGTGTCCCCTAATCCTACGGTGTCCTTAGGAGATAGATGCTATTTCTTTTTTTTTTTTTTTTTTTTCGGTTTTTCGAGACAGGGTTTCTCTGTATTGTTTTGGAGCCTGTCCTGGAACTCGCTTGGTAGACCAGGCTTGGTCTCGAACTCACAGAGATCCACTTGCCTCTGCCTCCCGAGTGCTGGGATTAAAGGCGTGTGCCACCACTGCCCATCGATAGATGCTATTTCATCTTACAAATTAGGAACCTAATGCTTAAAGAGATTAAATTTACATCTAAAGTCACAGTTGCAAACAGTTGACTTGGGTTAACATAGAAGAAAGGGATTTCAAGTTGATGCCTGAATCACTTCTGAATTTGAGTTCCTTGCATTTTTCTTTGTCCTGTTCCTTTGCGATGCAGTGAAAGCGCTTGATTTTGTGGAGGTAAATGTGTGATTTGCTTCATATGTAGTATCTGGTTTCCTCCGTAATGCACATGTACACTCACACATTAATGACTTCTACTGCATTGTTGTTCTCTGACCCTTGACATTTCCTTCTCTGTCAGTCTCCCTTTGCTTTTTTAAAGATAAAAGTTATCATGGCTTTTATGGGTGCTGGAGAGATGATTCATCAGTTAAGAGCACTTACTGCTTTTGCAGAGGACCCAGGTTTGGTTCCCAACACTCACGTGGTAGTTTCAGGGCATTTGATGCTTTTGTCTAACCTCTGAGGGCACCAGGCATGCATGACCACATTCCTATGCATAGGCAAAACACTCATACACATAAAACAAATCTAAGCTTAGTGGAGGTGGTTGGTGCACGCCTGCCATCCTAGCACTCTGAAGGTAGAGACAAGAGGATCTCTGTGAGTTCGAGCTCAGCCTGATCTGCAAAACAAGTTCCAGGACAGCAAGAGCTGTTATACAGAGAGGACCTGTCTCAAAAAAACAAAACAAAAAAACCCAAAACCTGAAAATTTTTTAAATTTATTTTATGGGCCAGGTGTTGGTGGCACATGCCTTTAATCCCACCACTCAGGAGGCAGAGGCAGGCAGATCTCTGTGAGTTCGAGGCCAGCCTGGTCTACAGAGTGAGTTCCAGGACAGGTTCCAAAACAATACAGAGAAACCCTGTCTCAAAAAATTTTTTTTATGTGCATTGGTGTTTTATCTGCATGCATGTCTTAGGGTGTCAGATCCCCTGAAACTAGAATCACAGACAATTACGAGCTGCCATGTGGGTGCTGGGAATTGAACCCAGCTTCTCTGAAAGAACAGCCAGTGCTCTTAGCCACTGAGCCATCTTTCCAGGCCCATTTTTTGAGTAAGCATCTCCTTCTGTCTCTTTCTTTTTCTCTTTTTTGAGACAGGGTTTCTCTATGTAGCTCTGGCTGTTCTGGAACTGGCTTTGTATATCATGCTGGCTTCCAACTCAGCAAACCTCCTGCTTCTACCTCTCAAATGCTGGGATTAAAGGCTTGCACCACCACTAACCATAAAAATAATTTTTTAAAAATTAGAAAAGTTTGTTTTAAGATATTGTTTCACAGTCTTGGCTGGCCTTGAACTCACAGAGATCCCCTGCCTCTTGTGGGTTGAGTGCTCTGAGGGTTTGGGCCACCACATATAGTTTAGCATTTTTTTTTTAATTACAGTTACTTACTAGTTTCTATGGGTATGGGTGTATGAGTGTTAGGCAGCCATGCCAGGGAGTCATTATAGAGGTCAGAGGACAACTTGTGGGAGGTCAGTTCTCCTTTCATCACGTAGGCGCATTGAACCATCTTGGGTTGTTATTTTACTCATTGGGTTTTACTCCAGGATTATGTTATCCCTGGAAAGATTAAGAGATGACAAAGGTGAATGAAAGAATCCCATCCTAAGTTCAGTAGAGACATGAATATGCAGCCTCAGAAGTTAAGGTTATTCAGAGGTATGGGTATAGTGGTGCAGATCTGTTATTCTGGCACTTGGCAGGCTCAGACCAGGAGAATTACAAGTCCTACCTTGAGTAACATAGTGAGTTCCAGGCCAACCTGGGCAATAGATGGAACGTTGTCCGGAAAAAAAAAGTCAGCATAAAGCTGGATATGGTGGGCACATACCCATCATCATGCTGTTGTGAGGCTGAGGCAGATGGTCATGAGTTTGAAGTCAACCAGAGCTGTATGATAACCTACTTCTAAAACCGAAGCCAAACATTCAGAGCAGAAAGAGAGTATAGTGGGCTCTGAAATAGCATAGACTATCCACAAAAGGTAGAGTTTCTAGTTTTAGCTTTGGGGCTTAGTGATTCTGCATTCCTAGAGTGAATGTCTCCTCTATATGCAGCTAAGGATGTCCTTGGACTTTCTGATCTGCCTGCCTACTTTTTCTGTGTAAGGATTACAGGTATGTGCCACCGTGCCTGGTTTATGTGGTGCTGTAGATTGAACCTGTGGGTTTTTGTATGCTAGGCAAATGGTTGAGGTACATCCCCAGCCTTGGTTTTGCATTCTTGAATACATTCTCTAAATGCCATTCCCTTTCTGGAATATGCTTTACTTTTTTGTAATGGTCATAAAGATGAAATAGGAGTATGTAACAAGCATAGCACATTGCTTTGGAACAGAGTAGGCACATAATTGTTACGATGATGTAGGTAACGCCGGGCGTGTAGCTCAGTTGGTAGAGTACTTGCCTAGCAGCTAGAGGTTCTAGCCTTGATCCTCAGCACCTAATAAAAGCCAGGCATGGTGGCATACACCTATAATTACAGCACTCTGTAGGTGCAGGCAGGGGGATTAGGAGTTCAAGTAGGCAGAAGGATTATGAACTGACCCTGTCTCAAAAACTCTACAGCAAAAAATCAGAAAAGCATCTAACATACACACACACATAATTTATACAGGGTCTCATGTAGCTTAGGCTGGCCTTGAACTCCTGATCCTCTTGTTTCTATTTTTAAGATCTAGTAGTAAATTGGTACATAGACATGTACCAATTTAACCTGACATTAAGCACTCAAAGTAACATTGTAACTTATAGAATAGATCAAGATGTAGTCACTGAACCTTGCATGCTATAGAAGTGAATATCAGAGATAATACTTTCCCATTGTACTTGGTTTTGCTTCTGCTGTTCTCTGTTTTATTTTTTTTAATTGTTTGTGGTCTTACTATGTAGCCTTTGCAATCCTACTGCCTCAGCCTCCCAAGTGTCAGAATTGCAGGCAAGTACCAGCCTTACTGTTCTTATTTTATAGTTGGGAAATGACAGCTCAGAGAGGTTAAGTGATTTATTTGCCTAAGGTCATAGATTGTTAAGAGGTAAAGCATGGATTGAACCTAAGTCTGAAAACTCTAAATTTAGCTCCCTTTGCCACAGTTGCCTCCTGTTACTATGTTTTCCCTTCATAGTATTTTATAAGCCCTTGGATTAAGTTGGTAGTAATTTTAGTACAACTGGCAACTGCTTGCTTAGTGCCGAGTCATTGTTGCCTCTCTCTGTCCTTAATAGGCCAAGAAACCTACTATGGTGGTGCTTGTGACCTGTCTGGCTCCTGGATGAGCCCTCTCATCCCTGGGCAGGGCCTAGTGATGGGGAGGAGGGGGGAGCAGGGTAGCGGACTGGCTCCAAGGACACAGATTTACTGAGTACTACAGTCTTGTTTCTGTCAGGTGTCATGTTGCTCTCAGCATGTGTTTGCCAAGAGAACTAAGTGCACCTTTCTCCTTTTGTCTTCTAGCCTGGCTTTCGAAAACGGCTGGGTTTGCTGGAGAAGAAGAAAGATTACAAACTTCGTGCAAAGTGAGTGCAGTATTTCTGGTGGAGGTGCTGCCAAGAAAGCTTACAACACCCATACTACAGCTAAAGTATCCAAGTGTCTAATGGGGGAATCATTTCCTGCCATTGATAAAATACCCAAAGCTCTGGCAGCCTGTTAGAGGTTTTCCTGTGACTCCAAGCTTCCCTTTGTTCAGACAGAGCGTTACTTACTTAAGTGCTTGAGCACTGTCAGTTTTTTTAATAGGCCCTTCCAGGTGGTTTTCTCAGAGTGGCATTGCTTTGCTCCATTGGTGTTTGAACCAAATGCCGAATCTTTCTGCTCCCTTTTCTTGAAGTGAAAGATACAATCTAAAGTTTGTTGGATCTCTTACACCATTACATGTGGTGTGGAATGAAGAGCTGCGAAAGATGGATTCATGAGCCTGAGAGTGGGTGATGATGAACTCTGAAAACATTTTATAAAACAATTATGTCTGTTCTTTTCTTTAGCACTCCATTTGCAAAATGCTTGTAATTGCTCATTAGCACACAAGTCAGCTGAGGTTCTTATATTCCTGGTTTGGTGGGTGGTGATGATTAAATGGATTTCTGTAGGTCTCAGATTTTATTTTATTTTATTTTTTATTTTTTTGGCTTTTCGAGACAGGGTTTCTCTATATTGCTTTGGAGGTTGTCCTGGAACTCACTCTGTAGACCAGGCTGGCCTCGAACTCACAGAGATCTGCCTGCCTCTGCCTCCCGAGTGCTGGGATTAAAGGCGTTCGCCACCAATACCTGGCTTGATTTTAATTTTTAAAAATTTTTTTATTTTTGTAGATAAGGTCTCACTATGTAGCCTTGACTGGCCTGAAACTCACTGTGTAGACTAGGTTGATCTCAAATTTACAGCAGTCTGCCCGTCTCTGCCTCCTGATAGATGCCTGTGGAGACCAGAAGAGGGCATCAGAGCCCCTTGGAACTGGAGTTATAGACAGTTGTTACCTGCAATGTCTGTTCTGGGAATTGGACCTAGGACCTCTGTGAGAGCAGTCAGCTTGCTTGCTTGCTTTTTCCCTCCCTCCCTCCCTCCCTCTCCCCTTCCCTCCCTCCCTCCCTCCCTCCCTCCTTCTCTCCTTCCCTCCCTCCCTCCCTCCCTCCCTCTCTCCTTCCCTCCCTCCCTCCTTTATTAACTTTATTTTTGTGGCAGTCTCCCTGTGTAGTCTAGGCTGGCCTCAAACTCATGGTCTCCTACTTCAGCTTCTTGAGTGCTAGGATTACAATTCTATGTATCATGCCTGGCTGGTACCAGAGATTTTTGTTGTTGTTATTTTGTTTTGTTTTTTTTTAAGATTTATTTATTTATTACATATACAGTGTTCTGCCTACATGCCAGAAGAAGACACCAGATTGAATTGTAGATGGTTGTGAGCCACCATGTGGTTGCTGGGAATTGAACTCAGGACCCCTGGAAGAGCAGTCAGTGCTCCTAACCTCTGAGCCACCTCTCCAGCCCCTGTTTTGTTTTTTTTTTTTTTTTTGAAACAGGGTCTTTCTATGTAGCCCTGGCTGTCCTGGACTCCACTATGTAGACCAGGATGTCTAGAACTCAGAGATCTACCTGCCTCTGCCTTCCGAGTGCCTGGATTAAAGTTGTATGTCACCATGCTGGCTGTCATAGTGCTGTTGAAACTAATTGTAAGAACTGAGCACTGGATTGGTTTCCTTTTTTGTAGTATGGTAGGAAATGGGACTTGAACCTAAGACCTTATACATTCGAGAGAAAGTTCTCTACTGGTGAGCTATAGCCCATCCCTGAGTGCTGTAGTTGGGTAAGATAGAGTTTGTATGTCTGTTTATTCCTTCCAACAATCTTCTGGAGTAGGTTACTGTTATACTCATTTTATGTGTGAAATTAGGATTAGAAGGTTATTCAACTTCCCCAGGGTTACTTAGGAATAGTGGAGTCTGGATACAGAGCCACAGTGTGGATGCAGAGGTCACCACTCTGCTGCTGTGCCCTGTGGCAGTGAATGGTGAGTCATGGCAGGACCTGGGTGCTGAAGCTTGGACTATAGTTCTTCGTGAGGAGTTTGAAGCTGTGCTTTATGTGGTATCCTTTTGTAGTGGTTCAAGTGGAGGAGGATGTGGGAAGGAGACAGTCACCTGTATGATTGGAACAGAGGGCTCTGAGGATTGTGGGTCTTACAGGGATCCTGACTCGTGACAGTGGACAATGGAGCAATCTGGTCACTGCTTTGGGTTTCTTATACATTTGTTTGTTGTGGTTTTCCTTGGCTTGTTTGTTTTGAGGGATTTAGTGTGTTTGTTGTGTGAGACAGCTCACTTTAAGTCAGATTGATTTTAGATTTGTGATTCTTCTGCTTCAGCATCCCAAGTGTTGAGGTAGCAGGTGTGCCCCCAGATCATGAACTTTTAAATGTGTGTATTCATCTGTGTGGATAGGTTTCCTTTTTTTCCATTTGTAACAAATCTCTCCTGACTTGTTCTTATAGTGACTATCATAAAAAGCAAGATTTCCTCAAAGCTCTCCGGAAGAAGGCTCTTGAAAAAAATCCAGATGAATTCTACTATAAAATGACCCGGGCTAAGCTCCAGGTAGGTACAAAACAGATAACAGTTGTTCAGAGCCCTAAGGATGGGGAATGAGGTGGAACAGGAGGAAGCATCCTTGTGGTCCTTCTCCACTCGGACCAGGTGCTCCTGGTGAGAGGTCCACCACAGACTGTCCTTTTCTTGGTCAGCATGCTCCTGCCTTTGCACCATCTTTTGTTTAATTTTTTTCCCGATTTGTTTCATTTGGTATTAAAAATGGAACCTCATACCTCTGCATGCTAGACAAAGTTCTGTACCCCCGAGTTAACCCCAGCCTCTTGTTTGAAGAATAAGTGAATGGAGATGTGTCTGTTCAAGGTGGGTGGGTGTCAGTGGCCTGAGGCCTTGAATTACTCTTAGTGTGCATGCAGCTCTTGCTTGCCTTTGCCTTAAATGTGAATTGCCCTAACATCTTACTAGTGGTTGTACTCTGCTACAGACTGTATCTGTTAACCTTCACTTTTAGGATGGAGTTCATATCATCAAGGAGACCAAGGAAGAAGTGACACCAGAGCAACTGAAGCTGATGAGAACTCAGGATATTAAGTATATAGAGATGAAAAGGGTTGCAGAAGCAAAGGTAACCATTGCATCTTTGTTCTGATGCATTTTTGTTGATTGGTTAAGAAAGGACACAGGTTTGAGAATGAGACCGATGTAGGCTAAATTCTAGCTCTGCCAGTTTCTAGACCCATGGTTATGGACCAGTTAACTTGAGAATGCTTATTTCAGTCATATATTTTAAATACTAAGTTTTGTGGAATGCCTAGTCTAGTGCTTGATAAATAGTTGGTACTTGGTAAGTTTAAGTGCTTTCATGTAAAAGAATGAAACCTGCCTTGCAGTGGTGGTGCACTCCTTTAATCCCAGCACTCGGGAGGCAGAGATAGGCGGATCTCTGTGAGTTCAAGGATAGCCTGGTTTACAGAGTGAGTTCTGGGACAGCCAGGACCACACAAAGAAATTCTGTCTTAAAAAAAAAAGAATGAAACTATTGATAACAAAGTATGTCAGACATGCATGATGATGCCACAATGAAAGCCAGTGCCTAAAAATATCAAAAAGATCGAGACGATGAATTCTTTAATTCTTTGCTGACTGACAGTGATGATGTGAAATGTCTAAGTTTTTGAAAGTTTATTTCTGAGACTTGGGAAGAACCTACTTAAAGACCATATTCCTCACTCTAGAAAATTGAAAGACTGAAATCAGAGCTCCACCTGCTGGATTTCCAGGGAAAACAACAGAATAAGCACGTGTTCTTTTTTGACACCAAAAAGGAAGGTATGAAATGTTGGAGGTGTCTGGGATGGTTTGCCATGTCACTGTGTGTTGGATGGTGCTAGAGATGACCTGTGCCTTAAAGATTGTCTTGAATTTCAGTTGAACGGTTTGATGTTGCGACTCACTTGCAAACAGCCCCAGAGCTAGTAGACAGGGTCTTTAATAGACCCAGGATAGAGACCTTGCAGAAGGAGAAAGTGAAAGGTGTTACCCCTCAGACTCGACTCAAGGTATGTTTCTCTATTGCACTCGGATGGGAGTTTGGGGTGGGGGCTCGGGTTTTTTTGTCTGTGATTCTTTTTTTGCCACTGTGTTTCATATAAGTATTTGTAGGAAACTTCAGAAACTCTTGATAAAGTAGAAAGATGATTGGTGATGGAGTGGAAGTGGATTTTTTGTTTATTTGTTTTGGAGGACATGTTCCATAGTGATCAGGAGTTTAGGTTTTGGGTTTGAATCCCAACTCTGATCTGGTCCTTTGTGCTTTTAATGCATTCATCCTTTGCTGACACTTAAAAAATGCAGCGCAGGGGAGGAACATTGAAGATCAGGGTTGTGATGTGTGGTGCTTTGATCTAGAACCCTTGTCAATGAATATGCATATTAAAATGTTTTCATATTACTCCGTTTGTAACCAAGATTTTGTATTGACTTTTCCTTATGGTGCTTTCTATCACATAACTGGGTTGTGGAGATGACAGGCTTTTTCTCAAAGCCTTCTGGAGTTGAACTCTCACTTCTGACTGACTCATTTGAAAAAAAAAATGCTGTCAATGTGTTTCAAGCAGACAGCTGTTCTGTTTTGATTTGAAGCATTTACACCGCATCAGTTTTGCTTCCAATGTTTAATTTCACAGCAGTTTCCTCTAGCTCAGAGGCAGCTAAACTTGCTTTAGTAATATAAATACCCCTAATTAGTTTGACTATATTGGGTAATCCCATAAATTTGACAGTCTGTGCAATAAAGTGAAAACAAAAGCTGTCTGAAACCACCGCTGTGAGAGAGACTCTGCTCAAGCTGGTGAGTTGTTGGTCTGAGGCCCAGTGCTAGGCCCCTTCACATCTGAAACACTTGCAGCTGGGGAGCCGGGTGACGTGTTCTCGTGATAGCCTTGTTTCTCAATTAGTTGGGTTTTCAGTTAGCTGAATCACTGATGTCCCTCGGGTAGTACTGTAGTCCTTTCATGGGGTAGTGTCCCATACCCTAAAGAACCGTCTGCCATCAGAGCGGTTATGAAGGTAAGAGGGCTCAGGCCTGCCATTTTTGCTCAGTATTGTTTCACTCCATTGCTTTGCTTAAAGGGTAATTATTTTTATCGAGAGGCTGCTGCCGGTGAGTAGATTGCAAGTCTGCAATGTGGAAGTGATAAGCAAAATCTGTGAATGGCTTGAAGTTTATGAACATCCAGCCCCCCAACACTGGAACTTTGTCCATACATGTATGTACAGGTTTCTGTGTGTATGTACACACAAGTAGTTCAAAACAGTAAAATTTAACATCCTTCAAAACTTGCAATGTTTTGAGCACTGATATGATACTACAAGTGAGAAATTGCATACCTGATTTTGTATGATGGACCACAGTCAAAATGCAGGCATGCTAAAAATACTGTGTAAAATTATCTTCAGGCTCTGTATATAAGGAATACATGAAAAACAATGAATAGCTTATTTAGACTTGGGTTTCATCCGTAATTTATCTCATGTGCATGCAAATATTCCAAGCACCCCCAAATCTGAAATCCAAACACTCTGGTTCCAAGCAGTAGGGATGAGTGAGACTCAGTCTATGTGCTGTCTTAGAGAAGAAGCCAAAGTTGTTAGTTTCTCAGATGCTTGAGTCTTGAAATGTAAGGACTGCAGTAGCATCTGGGGAATCCTTAGCTGCTGAGTCTTCTCAGGTCTCAGTGCTGAAAATTCCCCTTGTGCTCTGTGACATTGAGATCTCACGCCCCAGCACTCTGCATCACTGGTCCTTCTGTTGCTCTGTGTTTACTTTTGCAGGCTTCCAGTCCTGCGCGGGTGCTGCCCTCAGCTCCAGTGACTGAGGCACTCAGAGTTTGAGGCTCCTTAGTGTACCTCTGGGAACACGCTTGGAAGTGGGGGCTCAGGACAGTCCTGACTACCTTTTAGACAAACCTTCTACCTTTGGGTCAGTTACTTTTCTTCTCTGTTTTTTTTTTCTACATTTGTTAAATGATAGATTTTGATAGTGTAGTTTCCACAGTTGCTTTCACTTGTAAAATGTGTTCGCTTTAAAGTGGGCATCTTTTTTTTTTTTTTTCAAAGCAGGGTGTCTCTGTGGCTTTGGAGGCTGTTCTGGAACTAGCTCTTGTAGACCAGGCTGGTCTTGAACTCACAGAGATCCGCCTGCCTCTGCCTCCCAAGTGCTGGGATTAAAAGAGTGCGCTACCACTGCCCGGCTAAAGTGGGCATCTTAATAGTCACCTTGAGTTGATTTTGGAATAAAGAGGGAACTGATGAAACCATTGATATAGTTGGACTCAAGAACCAGCTTCTTATTCATTTTTGTCTTGTTAATTGGTTTATTTAAATATATGTTTATTCTATAGAGGATAGCTAAAGAAAGACAAAGGCAGTATGATTGCTTGACACAGCGAATTGATCGGGAGAAGAAGCTGTTCGTGGTTGCACAGAAAATTCAAACCCGCAAAGATCTTATGGTGAGGAGGCGTCGGCCTGAGCCTTCTCTCTCTCTCTCTCTCTCTCTCTCTCTCTCTCTCTCTCTCTCTCTCTCTCTCTCTCTCTCTCTCTCTCTCTCTCTCTCTCTCTCTCTCTCTCTCTCTCTCTCTCTCTCTCTCTCTCTCTCTCTCTCTCTCTCTCTCTCTCTCTCTCTCTCTCTCTCTCCCTCTCCCTTTCTTTCTTACAAAGGTCTTAACTGAGACTGGATCTCGGCTGTGTGTAAATCAACAACAGTGAAAATGTCTGCTCCTTTGGGGCAGTGGTTTGAGCCAGTGTCTATTGCTCTGACACTGTTGAAACATTCCTTGATTAAGAAGGTAATAAGGGGTTATTAGTCAATGCCCTGGAGCAGCAGAGGGTAGGATCAGGTAGCATGTGGACTTTACAGCTTATGAGCAGCTCCGGTAACATTTAAACAGGTTAACAAACAGAACATGCCACTCACGGGTGTTTAAAAATAGACAACATTGTGCAGTTAAATAGCAGAGCTAAGGAATCTAAGAAGCTCCTTCGCATTATCATTCCTCTAAATGTCAAATTCTTCAGCCTTGCAGATCGTTTAGGTTGGCCTTTTTCAACTGGGGTTCCGAGAGAGAATTAAATTTATAATTTAAACAAAATAATTACTCGAGCTGCTCTCTCCTCAGTTTCCCAAAGATTGTCCACAGCTGGTAGCATTCTGTGTGCTCCTGGAGAGGTTAAGTGACTCCATACAGTGGGTGGCTATGGCTCTTCTGAACTTGGAGAAGACTCTGTGGGCTCTGTCGGGCTTCTCCCTAGCTAGCTTACTGACTTTGCTGCTCCATGAAACCCCACTTACGTTTACTGGTCACCTTTTACCCTTACAGGATAAAACAAACAAGGTGAAGGTGAAGAAGGAAACAGTGAACTCCCCAGCTATTTACAGATTCCAGACTCGCCGAAAACGTTGATGTGTTAAAAATAAGCCTCGTCATTCTGCATTGAAAAGAACTCTTTTTTTCCCCTCTTTTGTAATAACTTCAAATTTCATTATTAGTTCAGATGCCTTGTTTTTTTTTGTTTTGTAATCATGACTTATTGTCAACCTGATACTTGATATCTTTCTATGAGAATAGTAAAGTCCCTTCCCCAATATCATTGTTTCTGTATTATTATTATTATTACTTGGTTTTTCAAGACAGGGTTTCTCTGTGTAACAGCCCTGGCTGTCCTGAAACTCATTCTGTAGACCAGGCTAGCCTTGAACTCACAGAGATCCCTCTGCCTCTCAAGTGCTGGGATTAAAAGTATATGCTACCATTGCCTGGCTTTGTTTTATATTATGAATTCATTCTCTTATTTTTAGTACCTATTTCTCCTTATACAAGTTATATAATCTCATATAACAATGTAGAAAATACTAAGATCATTTCTGATCTTAGTATTTAAGAATAACAGATATTTATTCCATAGTAGGAGTTAGGGTTACAGAGGTAAACTGCTACTGTGAGCATTCTGGTGTATGTCCTCCACTTGGGAGAGTTATACATCAGTTTTTGTTTATATTTTTGTTTTGTCACACTCCTTACTGCAAATTCTACATTCTAATTTTTAATTAAATCACTAGCTCTGTTCTATTTTTGTTATATTACACAATTTCTCAAAAGTAATATAAGATCAAAGTAAAAGGTAAAGTCGTTGTTTTTGTGTGTTAGGGTGGGTTCACATATGTGGTGGTGCATGTGGGGGACGTGGAACAATGCCTGACCTTAGACTCAGTCCTCTTTGTTTTGAGACAGTGTCTCATTGACCTGGAGTGCGTTGGTTATATGAGGCTGGCCGGCCAGTGAGCCTCAGGGATCCACCTGTCTTTGCTTGCTTTTGCTGGGATTGTAGGTGAGGAACGCCACACTTGTTGGGGTCAGAGGACAGTTTTGTGTATTTAGTTCTCTCCTACTATGTGGTCCCAGAAATCAAACTCTGTTATCAGGCTTAGTGGCAAGGGCCTTTACCTGCTGAGCCATCGTATCAGCTCCCTCGCTCACTTGGCTTTTAAAATGTGGGTTCTGGGGCTGGGCAGTGGCTGCCAGTACTTGGGAGGCAGAGGCAATTGGATCTCTGATCTAGAATTCCACGGCAGCCAGGGCTACACAGTGAAACCCTGTCTGGGAAAAACAACAAAAATGTGGGTTCTGGGAATCAAACTTAACGTTTATGCTTACACAGTAATGGAACCTGAATTTCTTTTGTTTTTTTGAGATGGGATGTGCCCTGGCTGACCTCAAATTAGCTGTGTAGTCAAAGGTGACCTTGAACTCCTGATCTTTCTGTCTTTTTTCCAAGATCTGGGATTACAGACATGCCAAAACTCCTGGCTGAAGTAATGGTTTTGAAGATATGTGTACAGTGGGGAAAGGGGTCTTTATTATTATTTGGGTGGCTTCATAATTTGTCTAAGAGTCCATTTCCCCTTCCTTACATTCAGAGATAGACACCCTTGGAAACAGCAACCCTATGGGTTCCTATTTGTTCAGAAAGCTCACATCAGAATTTACTAGGACTGGCTCTGTTCCTGCGCTCTGCTCCCAGCCAATTGCTGATTCCAAGGCTATAAATGACTTCACCTGAGAATACAGACCCCAGGCTATATGGAGCTGTTTTTTCTCTTCTTTGGGTCCCACCCTTTGCTTCCTTGCCCATATATAGGGATGGTTGGCCATGGCTAGTCAGAACAGGACTGAGCAGGCTTACAGAAGATGTAGGAGAACTGAGAACAGGGTTTTGGGAGTCTTGTTCATACCCCACTTCCTGGAGAGGAATAGTCACATCAGTCTGGTAGATTTTCTTTTTTTAAAAATGTGTATGTGTTTTACCTTTATGTCTGTAGCACATGCATGCCTGATGCCTGCAGAGGCCAGAGAGGGTGTTGGGTCCCTTGGAACAAATTATAGGTGATTGTGACCACCATGTGGGTTCTGGGAATTGAATCCTGGTCCTCTAGAAGAGTAGCCAGTGCTATTAATTTTTGAGCCATCTCTCCAGGCCTCTGTGTGTGTGTGTGTGTGTGTGTCTGTGTGTGTGTGTGTGTGTGTGTGTGTGTGTGTGTGTGTGTGTATAATGTTAGTAAGTGGCATAGCTACTAGGTTCCTGTGTAAAGCCTAGAATGAAAACTGTTTTCTAAGAATGTATACTGTGGAATTCAGATCTGGGAGCCCTGAAAATAAGGGGTGTTGAGCTCAGTGCCAATGATCTGGGTAACACTGTTAAGAAACCCAGACTGGAGCAAGGTGAAGGTAGTGTTTTCAGATGGTACTTGAAAGGGAATTTGACATTCTAAAGAGTTAACAAGCCAAGCAATGGTTTGTTCTGGGGAACGCTGCCAGGCACTGCAGCTCTGTTCTTGCCATTCCTGGGTAGAAAGGTGAACCCCCCCACAAAAGTACAAAACACTGCGTGGGCTCTCATGTTAACAGAGGTATGGGGCAGGAACAACTTGGGCTCCATAAACAGGTATGGACACAGCCATGCACCCACCTCTGGGTGCACGCACAACACACCAGTGGAGATGCCTGAAGGCTTGTGCTCAGTCCAAAGGGGCTGCAAAGTCCATTGTGTTTGGAGTTCCCCAGCTTCCAAGCTGGAGGTAATCAAAACTAGAGGAACAAGACTAGGCATCCTTGTTGCTGAGCCATTGTTGGCTGTCTCTGGGCCCAAGGATTCTCTGATAGAGCAGCAAGCACTCTTGAGCTACCTCTCCAGCTCCTTGTTATAATTTTTTGACATGGTCTCATGCTGGCCTGGACTGCTCTCAACTTACTCTTCTGCCTCACTGTCAGAATTACAGGTATGAGCCACTGTGTCTGGAGGTCCCAAGAATTATTCTTTTTTTTTTTTTTTTCAAGACAGGGTTTCTCTGTATTGTTTTGGAGGCTGTCCTGGAACTCTCTGTAGACCAGGTTGGCCTTGAACTCACAGAGATCCACCTGCCTCCTGAGTGCTAGGATTAAAGGCATGCGTCACTAACTCCTGGCTGAGGTCCCAAGAATTCATTCTTTTTTTTTTTTTTTTTTTTTTTTTTGGTTTTACGAGACAGGGTTTCTCTGTATTGTTTTGGAGGCTGTCGGTCCAGCCCGGCCTCGAACTCACAGAGATCCGCCTGCCTCTGCCTCCCGAGTGCTGGGATTAAAGGCGGGAGCCACCACCGCCCGGCCCCAAGAATTCTTAAGGGGAGAGATTAGTGGTCCCTTGTCATTAACCCATCACAGCTCTAGTCTCATGGATTCTGAGACCAGGTCACAGCTTTAAGGTAGGGCTCTCAGTGGGACCACAGGCAGACTCGCTAGAAGAGGGAGAGGTTTTGTTTTCTCTGTAGCCATCTTCTTAGGCTTGGGATGGTTGGCCTGTTGACATGGTATACCACTCTGACTGCCACAAGGCAGTAGGCAGCCTGTGGAAGTGGAGAATTTGCCTGGACCAAACAAGTATTCTTGTTTGGTTCATGTCTTGGCATAAGACAAGAGTTCAAAGCAACAGCCATCGGAACCCATGGATCTGTCAAAGGAACAGTCCCCAAGCCAGCTTAATTTATAGCCACATCCTAGGGTCCTTTTGACTAAAACAGGAGGGTGTCAAGGCCTTGTGTTATTTTTCAGTATAAGAATCTAATTCTGATGTCCACGGAAGGAACTGCTAGGCAGAAAGGAGCCCAGCAGGTGGAGCTGCTGCCTCTCTCTGGGCTGGTTATCAGTGAGCCTGTGTCTACCTTGGAAGTAGCTTCTGCCAGAACCTCCTTGCCCCCCAGAGATGCCGAGTATGGATTTGTTTATTGAATTTAATGCCACAGAAGAGAGCTCCATGAAAAAGATCTTTCCTTTTAGTCTGGTTGTATTGTGGCTTTCCTACTTTTAATGAGGATACTGTAGGGACTTTAGGGCCTTTCCCAAGGCCTCAGGTTTCCCAGAGGTTGGTTCACAGGGATGATGTGGGGGGTTTCCTTTTGTGGAGGTCTGAGAGTTGACTTGTGGCTTAATGTCTCCCCGTGTTGCTGCCTGTGGGTCACTGAACAATCGAAGCCGCACGTCCTTCAGCAGGGAAAGCAGCCAACACGCAAACTGTTCTGCCTGCCTGTGGAGGCCGGTGAGGCCAGGGCCTGTCGGGACTTGGAAACCATGAGGCAAGTAGGTGTGTGGTTCTGGGCTCTTTTCCTCCCAAAGCCATCTCAGCTTGCCAGTTCCCAAAGCTTCATGCATGGGGCATTGGGAAGGGCGCCTTGAGCCTTGCTTGGGTGGGAGTCCTGGCCCAAAGCCGCAGATGAGTGGAGGAATAGGGGTAGACTGTCCGAGGCTGAGCTGGCAGGCTTCTTGGGCTTTGCAGCTGCCTTCTGGGGTCAGAGGGTGCACTCTAGCCAGCAGGGCTATGGGGCCTCCTTGCTGGCAGGGCTCCCACTGGCTTCTGGGTCTGGAGCATAGGGATTACAGAGCAGGAATGCAACAAGGAAAGGCAAAGCTGCTTGTTCCTAGGTCCATGGGCCAGGATGACACTCAGCGGCCGAGCTTTGACCTAGAATATGCAAGGCCTGGACATGATCCTTAGCATTGCCTCCCAAAAGCCCAAGTCTACTTCTGAGACTCAGGAGGCCAGAAGAGGCTGTGCAAGCAGGTCATGCTCCTGCTTGTCTGCCCCTAGACTGTCTGGCCAGAGAAAGCATCTCTCTGGCTGCTTCTGCCTCCATGTAAGGAATCTCCTTGCCTCCTCCTCCCAGGTCCACTGTCACACCATTTTGGAAGGTCCTGTCTCAGCTGCACCAGCTCTCCCTATCCATCTGCTCTGCCTAATGTGACGGGCTTAGGAAGGGTGATGGCCATATCCTGTCATATGACGGGACACACTACTGCCAGGAGGTCAGGCAGTCTGTTCCTGCCAGGTGGTGGTAGAGGCTGGTCTAGGATAGAACCAAGGACCTAGGCAGGGGGTTACTGAGTTTGGAGGTTAAGAAAGGTGGGAAGGAAGTGTCACTTGATGGCCATGCTCGGATCACCAGTGTTAATGAAACCCTGGTGCCTGGAGGCAGGTGGGCACTCCCCTCCCTTGCCCTGAGCTAGTCTGACTAATTTACAGCTTTTTTTTTCCTTTTGTTACCTCAAAGGCTTATTTCT